TTTGTGTAGTGTAACATTTCACTTGGTGTAGGCCCTAGTGAAGGGTAGTTTCGAGACCCTTCGTGGTTGGGGACAGTGTGGCACTGTTCCACATCACTGTACCTCGGCTCTTGGGGTTTGTAGGAGCTGGGAGTCATTCCCAACTCGTAACTCTTCCTAACTCTTCCTATCTTGTGTTCTAAGACTATAGTGGCTGCCATAGTGCCGTTCGTTCAAACCAACCCTCTGTCGTCAATACTTAGTCAAATCGTGCGATTTAAATTGCCTATTGTAGGCGACAACAAGACGCTCCAGATCCAAGTTGAATCAAGTCATTTAGAGCTGTCACCAGAACGCTATGAACGTTTGAAGCCGCTATGCAGAAATCCGACTGTGCACTCTATCTTTCGTTTTAGGCACATTGGAGCCTACTGTGACTATAACAACCCGCGCGGTCGCCGGTGCGAAGGACGTAGGTGCAGGGATCAAGACCCCCACCACGCTGACGCTGCGTGTACCACTCACAGAGCTGCTGAGGGGTGGGGACGTCGCGAGAACGCTGCTGCTGCTGCTGGCGCTGACCACCCCTAGTGCCGCTCCGCTGTGAAGTGCCACTCCGACCACTTCCACCACCTCCTCCTCCACCTCCTCCACCTCCGCCACCGCCGCCACCCCCGCCAGTACCGCCGCCGCCGACGCCGCCTTCGCCACCACTGCTGCCACTAGCACCCCCACCCCCGCCACCTCCTCCACCGCCACCCCCACTCCCTCCGCCGCCTCCACCTCCACCGCCACCGCCCCCGCTAGCCCCACCTGCTCCCTTGCCCCCCTTGCCCTTGCCAGAGCGACGTCTCCCGCTAGGGGCAGACGCCGCACCGACTGACTCAAGACCAACGAGGTCGGCCGCAGCGGCAGAGGCGACAGAGGGCAACAGAGGGGAAGGAGAACACCCCTCAAAGATGGGGGCGCGGGGGTCACCTCGAGAGGCTCCTACAGTGACGATGCTCTTCTCCGCCGCTAGGAGGGCCTTCTCTAGGCTGTTGAGTGTCAGAGTGGTGGGACAGACCGCAAGGAAGTGGTCCCGGACTACACGAAGGGAGTCGGGGAGGCGGGTGACTAGAAAGTAGAGAGTGATGTACATGGGGGGGGGGGGGTTCTTGGCACAGAAGTCAGCAGGAAGCGCAGCGCGGTAGCGGGTGTCACTAGTGTGGAGGTGCGTAATGAGATCAGCAACTGTGGGAAAGGCGGCAAGGTCAGGGAAGAGGAAGGGTAGCATGAGGCGGCTCAGTGCAGCAGTGGCAGGGGAGGAGTAGCACGCAACTACAGCGTCGTACAAGGTATGAGCACTCTTGTACTGACTAAAGTGCGCACGCTCAGAGGTAGGGAGGTGGCGACGCACAGCAAGACGTGCAGCAGCATCGCGCGAAGCCCACTGGGAGCGAACAGTAGGGTCAGCATCAGCAGCAGGGGCAGGGGAAGCGCCAGAGGTAAGGTCAAAGAGAGAGAGGCCGTCTGCCCTATCGCACTGTAAGAACAGCTGGAGGTCATCTACCCAGACCTCAAAGTCAATGGCCCGACCCTCAGCGTCAAAAGCAAGGACACTGGGGGTAGCCATGACAACAGACGCCTAGCAGTGCAAGCAGTAGGGTGAGGGCAGTGCAGTGAAAAAGAAGGCTGTGTGCTTACCAAACTGGGCAGAATAGGCGGTCTGAAAGTAGGACAGCTCAGCGGCCGGCGGCTCGGCTGCTGGGCGGCTCGGCTGCTGGGCGGCTCGGCTGCTGGGCGGCTCGGCGGCTCGGCTGCTCGGCTGCTGGGCGGCTCGGCGGCTCGGCTGCTGGGCGGCTCGGGGGCTCGGCTGCTCGGCGGCTCGGCGGGCGGCTGCTGGGCGGCTCGGCGGCTCAGCGGCTGGGCGACCCGGCGGTCGGGCGGCGCGGCGGTCGTAGGTAGGGCGGCGAGTGGGCCGCAGGTAGGGCGGCAGGCGTGCCGCAGGTAGGGCGTCTGGCATGCCGCTGAGTAGGGCGGCGGGGCCGTCGAGAAGGGCGGCGGGGCCGCAACGTAGGGCGGCGGGGCCGTCGAAGTAGGGCGGCGGGGGGAGGGGGGGGGGGGGGGGGGGGGGGGCGCGACGTAGGGCGGTGGGGCCGTCGAAGGGTAGGGCGGCGGGGCCGCAACGTAGGGTAGGGTGGCAGGGACGCGACGTAGGGCGGCGGGGCCGTCGAAGTAGGGCGGCGGGGCCGCAACGTAGGGCGGCGGGGCCGTCGAAGTAGGGCGGCGGGGCCGCGACGTAGGGCGGCGGTGCCGTCGAGGGGTAGGGCGGCGGGGCCGCGACGTAGGGTTGGGCGGCGGGGCCGCGACATAGGGTAGGGCGGCGGGGCCGCGACGTAGGGCGGCGGGGCCATCGAAGGGTAGGGCGGCGGGGCCGCGACGTAGGGCGGCGGGGCCGTCGAAGGGTAGGGCGGCGGGGCCGCGACGTAGGGCGGCGGCGCCGTCGAAGGGTAGGGCGGCGGGGCCGCGACGTAGGGTAGGGCGGCGGGGCCGCGACGTAGGGCGGCGAGGCCGCAGGAGTAGGGCGGCGGGGCGGCGACCGAAAAGGCGGCGCGACGGGCCGCTAGGGGGGGGGGGGGGGGGGGGGACACGACGGGTCGCTAAAAAAAAAGGAACGCGCGCCTCGGGGCGCGCTTCGGTGGGCCCAAGAAACAGTCCCTAGGAAGGGACCTGCTCTGATTCCATGAGAGAATGAGAACGAGAATGAAATGACTATGAATGAAGTGAGTACATATAGGAAACCCTAATTGGGCTGTACCCCCTATGGGATACCCCACTATAGCCTACACAAATAAGCAAGCTATAATGTTCTGACATGATGATGTGTGGCGTATCAATGTTGGCTGTCATGACCTCTCATGGGGCCCTGTCTTCCTTATTGTTATGGTCACAATAGGCTTGAATGTGCCTAAAACGAAAGATAGAGTGCACTGACGGATTTCAGAAGAGCTGCTTCAAACATTGATAGCGGACTGGTCGCTGCCCCAAATCAAGTGTTATAAAAATAAATCTGGAGCATCTTGACGTTGCCTACAATTAGCAAGTTGAATCACTTGACTTGATAGATAAATGACGACGTAAGAGCAGTTTGAGGAAACGGCGGCATAGCAGCTAATATAATCTTAGGACACAAGATAGGAAGTAGTTACGAGTTGGGAATGACTCCCAAACTTTACAAACCTCAAGAGCCAAAGCCCTGGAAGGTGGAACAGCGCCACGCAGTCCCAACATCGAAGGGTCTCGAAACTACCCACCACAAGGGCCTACACCAAGACAAATGTTACACTACACAATGCTGCGTAATTATGTCTCATGTTTACTCTTTTGGCGAGCTTCGAAATCATTTGGAACTTGAAACCAAGGCTCTGGGTCTTCACCATAATATTTTCCTAGAGTCTTCAAGGCTTATTGCGCACACCTGCGACAAGCCGAACGTTCGACACACGACAAAATAGAAAATGAACATGACACGCAAGCGACGGCGTGACACACGACTAGCGATAACTCGCTATTGACTTGATATATACATTTGACATCATGACTCATCATTCACATACTATTATACGCATGAAGTATATATCATCTTATGCTCTCATACCATCCCATGCACACACGTATGCACGTACAAGGATAACAAGCCGAGTGCAAACCATGGGGTTGCACTAACAATTGTTGCAAGGTATGACTCTAAATCACATTGCAGAAAGTGACCCAGGGTTCAGTACCCTCCCACTAATCCTCATCGCCCAACCTGTTAATAGCCCTCCTGTTTTTGTTCGCATGCCACAGACATCAGTTAAAACCAGTTGGAAGTGGAGATGCTCAGTTGGATTGGCAGCATGACAACTTTGAATTACGTGTGCGTGCCGCCATGCACCACACCACACTGCACTGCTTTCTATTGTGCACAATCACGTGTACTTCTCTACTCGCTTTCAATCTTGTGTAAAGTTATAGTAGCATTATTTGGATGGGTGTTGTATAATCATGCAAAGCTGGGAGCTGGACAATGTGGGAAAGCACGGGTTCTATGAGTGATCATAGCATTCCTTAGTGTTCTCTAGCACTTGTGCATTCACAGGGAAGTTTGGCAAGAGTTTCACTAGGGAAAATTGCATTACAAAATGATTGCAATAGCAAAAGGCGACAATGACTACATCAGAGCCTACCAACCTAGCAAACAAGCTGGTCGACTGCAAGCGCAGCACGATCAACAGTCTGCCACCGGTGCATATAGGCACCACGCTAGCGTTGCAAAAAGGCAACCTGCCAACAGAGCAAGTTCGCGGTCTGCCAACGCTGCACCATAGCAGCGTGCCAACAATGCATCAGAGCGGTCTACCAGCGTTGCGTCCCCAGGTGATAGTAGCGCAGGTGCGCAGCGACGGTCGAGCACATTCTTTTCCGTCGCGCAGGTGCCAGGTCAGCCACGTGCCGATGGTTGCGCTTGAAGCTCCATGCCGACCTCAGGATACCAGCCATCGCCATCGCAGCCTCGACAAGCCTCGCGTGCCTCCTCAAAACGTCGTCGAGGAGGTTACCTGGTCGACTGGGTCAACCACCCCAGCGCCCTGGTCTGTCGCGATATTTAAATTTATATATGTTTATAACTGCCTGTAGCTTTAGCTCTAGTATAGATACTGTATGTTTCCTTATTGGTGGTGCACCTTTGCTAGTTTGCTATATGTACTTTGTGTGCTATAGTGAACAACACACATTCTCACTTTCTCTTGGCCACAATTCTCTCGACACCCGCTTGGCCTTGGCTTCTAAGCCTAGGCCCTAAACCTGGTTCCTAGTTAACTTAGTATTGTAACATGGTACTGAGCTATTAGAATCCTGACCTAAGTTAATGGGCCCACCTATTCGCGGCACGGCGCTCGCTGGGACGGGCGTGGCGGCGAGCCGGCCACGTTTCCCTCGTCGCCAGCCCGTCGTTTTTTTTTTTTTTTTTTTTTCCCCTCGTCGCCTGCTTGTCGTCAGCCCGTCGCATTTTCCCCTGTCGCCAGCCCATCGCGTTTCCCCCGTTGCCTGCTCGTCGCGTTTCCCTTGTCGCCAGCCCCTCGCGTTTTACCCCCGTCACCACCTCTACCCGCGCCTACGCCTCCTGCCGAGTTTGCGCGAGAGTGGGAAAGGGGGGGTGGGGGGGAGGCATAGGGAATAAAGGGGACAACGTCCGTGGTGGTCGTCGCGGCCCTTCCCCCCCGTCCCTTTTTCTTCCCTCCCGTCGCCTCGCTCCACCCGTTGCATTCCCCCGGCCCCTTGCCCGTCACCCCCCCCCCCCCCCCCCCCCCCCCCCCCATCGCGACTGTTCGCGTGTGCAGCGGCGGTCGCTGTGGGTGGGAGAGGGATGAGGGGAAGGGATTGGCGGCGGAACATTGTGGGGGGGAAAGGGAAAAGGGGAAGGGAGTGTCGGCGGAATGATGTGGGGGAGAGAGGAAAAGGGGGAAGGGAGTGGCGGTGGAACAGCACCATCGCCAGTCGCCAGCACCAGGCACCAGCACCAGCGCCAGCTGCCAGCACCAGGCACCAGCACCAGCGCCAGCCACCAGCACCAGCGCCAGCACCAGGCACCAGCACCAGCGCCAGCCGCCAGCACCAGGCACCAGCACCAGCGCCAGCCGCCAGCACCGGGCACCAGCACCAGCGCCAGCCGCCAGCACCATGCACCAGCACCAGCGGCAACCGCCAGCACCAGGCACCAGCACCAGTGCCAGCCACCAGCACCAAGCATCAGCGCCAGTGCCAGCCGCCAGCACCAGGCACCAGCACCAGCGCCAGCCGCCAGCACCAGACACCAGCACCAGCGCCAGCCGCCAGCACCAGGCACCAGCACCAGCGCCAGCCGCCAGCACCATGTACCAGCACCAGCGCCAGCCGCCAGCACCAGGCACCAGCACCAGCGCCTGCCGCCAGCACCAGGCACCAGCACTAGCCGCCAGCACCAGGCACCAGCGCCAGCCGCCAGCACCAGGCACCAGCTCTAGCGCCAGCCGCCAGCACCAGCACCAGCGCCAGCTGCCAGCACCAGGCACCTGTGACCAGCAGCCCCACCTATGACCAGCAGCCCCACCTATGACCAGCAGCCCCACCTATGACCAGCAGCCCCACCTTTGACCAGCAGCCCCACCTTTGACCAGCAGCCCCACCTTTGACCAGCAGCCCCACCTTTGACCAGCAGCCCCACCTTTGACCAGCAGCCCCACCTTTGACCAGCAGCCCCACCTTTGACCAGCAGCCCCACCTTTGACCAGCAGCCCCACCTTTGACCAGCAGCCCCACTTTTGACCAGCAGCCCCACCTTTGACCAGCAGCCCCACCTTTGACCAGCAGCCCCACCTTTGACCAGCAGCTCCACCTGTGACCAGCAGCCCCGCTTGTGACTAGCAGCCCCACCTGTGAAGAACTGGACAGGGACCATCGTGGGTGGGGAAGGGTCTGGATGAAAAAAAGGGGGGAGGGAGTGCGGTTCCAGGGGGCGGTTGAAATGGGGGGTGAGGTTACAGGGGGTTGGTTGATTGGGGGTGGGGATATGGGGGTTAGTAAGAGGGGACGCTGCAGCCACCCCCCCACCTCCTCTCCTCATCCCCCACTCAACCCCCCTTGTGTAAAAGGGGGTTAGTAAGAGGGGATGCCGCGGCAACCCCCCCACCTCCTCTTCTCATCCCTCACTCACCTCCTCCGTTGTTCTTATCTCCTCTCCTCTCCTGTCTCTCTCTCGCCTCCTCCTCACTTACCTCTGTACAGTCTTTCACAACGCCTGCAATACCCCTTCAGGGGGTGTGACTTACTCTAGCTATATGCTACAGGCAGTTAAGGGGGTGTGTCGCGATATATGTTTATAACTGCCTGTAGCTTTATCTCTAGTGTAGTGATGTTTCCTTGTTGGTGGTGCACCTTTGATAGTTTGCTATGTATACCTTGTGTGCTATAGTGAACAACACATACGGTATTCTCACTTTCTCTTGGCCACGATTCTCTCGACACCCGCTTGGCCTAGGCTTCTAAGCCTAGGCCCTAAACCTGGTTCCTAGTTGACTTAGTATTGTAACATGGTCAACGACCTCCCTCGTCAACCACTCCTCCGTTGAAGACCACTCTGGTCAACGGACCCCTCCGTCAAGCAGACAAGTCAGCTGCCGCCGTCGAGCTCCCTCCTCGACGGTCCCTTGGAAGTCCTGCGCATAGGCCGACGACCACCTTCGTCAACCACACCCCAGGCAGGTCGGCGAACCCGTTCATCAACCACACTAGTCGAAATCTGCCGCCTGCTTTCCGTTGTCAGTGGCTTCGGCGGCTTCACAGCAGTCTTCTGCAGGTCGACCGACTTCGTCGACCTGCACGCAACGACCTCTACGGATGGTTGGCTGCACCTCCCGCACACCAAACCACAAAGTTGGCTTGGCCCAAGCGAGGGCGGGGCGAACATCCTATTCCGGTCCACACTCCCTTGCTATGCTCATGCTTGGGCACCCAACCCGCACGGCAGAACTACACGGAGAAAACTTGTCCTCGACATGCACCCAACATACAGCACACCGGTCACCGCACCAACCATGTAGAAGAGCATGGCACCTACTGCTGCACGTCGTCATCACGATTGTCGACGTCCACCAGGCACACCTGGCCAATCACGATAGAGTTCCGGTTGAAGGCCGAAAGTGCAAAGCCTTCGTCAGGAAGCCGGCTGACTGCTCGGTGGTCGGGATGTACTTCAGCAAAAACTTCCCGCGCTTCACCATCTGCTGCAGCGAGGCATAGCATCTCTTCGTATGCTTGAGGTTTCTCTTTAGCCCCAAGCCCTCAGCAACCGTGATTGCCAACTAGTTGTCCACTCGTAGGACGATCGGCGTCCCAGCGTCGAGTGGCTGGAACTCTGCTAGGAGGAAGCGAAGTCGTCGAGCCTCCTTGCGGCTTCTGTGGCCGTGACGTACTCCGACTCGGTGGGCGAGAGCATCGTGCAATTGATGCGCTGGCTCAACCAGGAGACGGCGGCCCCTCCAAAGACAAACACGTAGCCGCCCGTACTCGTACGGTTGTGCTTGTCGCGAGCGTCGTCGGTGTCCACGTAGCCGACCAGGCACAGCGACTCTGGACAACCGCTGAACTCCAGGGTGGTGTTACAAGTGTCGGCAAGGTAGGCAAGGCAGTGATCGACCTTGTGACAGTGCTAGTCGCTCCTCAGCAGCAGACCACTACCCAGCTTGCTGCACGCGAAGGCGATGTCCGACCTCATCGTCGTCACCGCGAACTGCAGCGAGCCAAGCTTCTGCCGGTAGTCCTCCTCTTCGCCCGACTGAGCTTCCTTGTCATCGAACGCCAGCTCGACGTAAGCATCGACGGAGACCGGCGTCTTCGGGATCTACTCAGTGTGGTCCTTGTCGATGAAGTGCCTGCGCAGCTTGTTGACTTACGATAGCTGGTGCGGCCAAAGCTTCCTCGCCGGCCTGTCGCGCATGATCTCCAACCCGAGGTACTTCTCGACCGGGGTGATTTCGCCCAGCTCAAAGGCAGCCTCCAGCAGCTCCTTCAGCATTGCAAGGCTGCTGCTGGCGGCGAGCAGGTCGTCGACATAGACGAGCACCCAACACGTCACCCCATCATCGCCGACCTTGAAGCACAGTGCCTCGTCGACGTGGCTCTTTCGCTAGCTCATGTCAGTCAGCACCGCATCGAGTATTGAGTACCACAGCAGCGGCGACTGCTTCAGCCCGTAGAGGCTCTTCAACAGCTTGCACGTCTTCTTGTAGTCTATTCCGTACACCTGCATGAAGTCCTTCACAACCAGCCTCGTCTTCTCGCGGGCAACCGTGTTATCGATGTGGTACTTCGTCATAAGCACCCACCAGTTCTTCATGATTTTCAGCCCGCATGGACGCTCGACCAGCTCCCAAGTGTCGTTGGAGACGAAGCCACGAATTTCCTCGTTCATGGCAGCCTTCAATATCATCGTCGCGATGTCCTAGCAGTGATCGGGGTCGGCACGCACGTCAGGGTCGAGCTCAGGCAGGTTGATGCCAGCCTCAGTGTTGTTGAGGAGCGTGGTGAAGGCGGCTGGTGGCAGACAGGCGTTATAGCTCAGCCACTCGGGCAGCTTCCAACTTCGGCCTGAGCGTCGAAGTTACGGCTTCTTGACAAAAACTTTCACCACATCGGTGTCGGTAGACTCCTCTTCTGCCAACAGCTCCCCTTCATCGTCGACGGGCTCATCGTCGATGAGTTAGCTCACGAGCGTTGGTCCTTTGACCGTCTGCTCCCCTCTCGTCGGCCCACTCGCCGACTCCATTTTTGTGGACAGCTCCCCTTTTGACTTCCCCACCTGTGGCTCTTCCATCGGCGACACTCCTGTTGCCTCATTCAGCACCTGCTCCCCTGTCTACTCCCCTATCATCGACGGCTGGATATCCTCGTAAAAAAGCTTGGCCGCACGTCAACCACTAGTGATGCCATTGGCCGGCGCCATAGGCGACACGTCAAGGCTCCCCTTCAGCGCCGATGGTCGACAGCAGCGTTGACCCAAGCAGGTCGGTGACGAGGGATGGAGCAACGGAAACAAGAGGTGGAGAAGTGGCTGGGACATCCTCGACGTCTTCATCAGCAGACTTGTCAACCTCAGTGAGCAGCGGCAATGTCACCATCGAGGTGTTCGTCGGCGAGTGTCTGCATCCGACCTGACGTCGGCCCATACTTCGCCTTCCACACCTCCAGCGACAACGTCTCGTAGAAGATGACCTTGTCCGGCATGACCACCTTGTTGTCGGTCAAGTCAAGCACCTCCCAGCCCTTGCTCTCTAGTGACACACCGAGGTGAAGCCCCCACCGTGCCTTCGGCGCCAGCTTCCCACCGCGCTGTTGCTCGGGAACCATGAACTCCACCATGTAACCCCACACCCGTGCCAACGTAAGGTTGGGCTTTTTGCTGATGAGCAACTGATACAGTGTTGTCCCCAGTGGCGTCGTCGACCGTTCCAAGTAGTTGCACACCCAAATGGCTTGCCGCAGCTCAAGGTGCCACATGTGGTGCTGCACACCCATGTGCAGCAGCATCGTCTGCACGGCCTCGACGACCATGCGATCTTCCGCTCCGCCATGCGGTTTTGCTGCGGGGTATAGGGGCGCGTCAAGTCATGGAAAATGCTCTTGTCGTCGACGAAAGCGGTGAACTCCTTCCCAAGGAACTCCCCTCCGTGGTCGAAGCGGAGCATACGAACCAACTTCTTCGTCTGCCGCTCCAACACGAGCAGCCACTTCTTGAACATCCGCAGAACATCGCTTTTTTTAGCGAGCGGATGCACACACACATACCGAGAGTAACGGTCCTTCAGCAGGAGGAAGTACATTCCGCCGTCCTTGGCAGCCACCCAAAATGGCCTGCACAAGTCAATGTGTATGACAGCCAATGCCTACACGGCGCCAGAGCCCTTGAGCCATGCCAGCTTCCCGCCGACGTATGAGACATACCGCAAGTCGGCCCCGGTTGACGGCTTGATGGTGAGGCCAGTGGCGACTGCGGAGAATACTATTCTAAGGGAGAGCTGAATTGCATGGGATGCAAGGTCAGAGTTCAAGCAGTGATTCTTGACAGAGTGTTGGAATGCCTTGGTAAAATTCAAGCATAATTTCACTAAGAAATGTTGATAGAACAAGATTATGGTACAAGGAAGGAGAACCAAATAGCAAAGACAAAGAACCCTGGAGAAACGTTCCTCAACAAGCAAGCACCTTTGCTGACTCAGAAACGGCAGGTGAAACGACAAGTACATGTGTCTTTCACCTGAATTGGCAGTTTCTCAGGTTTACAACTTTCAGAGTTGTTTACATTATTACTGTTAGTAAAAACGTGCCTCAAGTTCCGTTTCCTTACTGATTCGAAACCTCATGGGGAGCACAATTTCCAAGATGCTCTGATTGGTCGAAATTTGCCTTTTTGTGATCAAGGGGGAAGTGGGGGAGAACAAGGGGTCACAAGACCAGTCAAGCAAAGCAAAGCAACGCAAGCTCAGGGTGGATCTCAAAGTCACCACACAGTCCGAGCACAAGGTCAAGGGCACAAGGCCAGTTCACATGCAAGAGTACACACATATATATAAAGCTAGACAAGCAAGAGCACGTATATATATATATATATATATATATATGTCATAGTACAAGCAAGATCAAGAGGAGAGCAAGTGAGGCAAGACAGGCACAAGACCCAGCTAAGTGCAGAAGCGCTGATGATCACAAGGCGCAAGTGCCTTGGTGAAGACATCAGCAGTGTTGGCCTCAGAGGCCACGTACGCAAGTCGCAACTGTCCACGCTGCTTTAGCTGACGAGCAAGGAAGTAGCGGAGAGCAATGTGCTTTGTTCTGTGCTCCAGTCGCTGCTCTCGACACAAGGCCAGCATGGCCTTGTTGTCTACGTACAGGACTGGAGGAGAA